TGCGTTTCACAACCGACAGTTGTCGGAGCTGGAACAAACTTCGGGGCTTCAGGGAGTTCCCACGCCAGGAGCAGGCGCTCCCCAGATTTGAAGGGTTTGGGGCCCATCGTCCCAGCCCTATTTCGTGGAGTTGCCTGGCGGAACCCCCTGGATGTTTTAAAGTCACACAGGAAAAGAATATATATAAACAAAGTTTTACTGGGTACTCATAGTCATGTTTTTAATGTAGAAACAGTCATATATTAGTAAATGTACTTGCATAGCACTAAGTAATTCATAGCCGTATTTGCAATCTGGGCATGGACAATTTAGCATTTGCCCAGGCAGGTAATCTCCACTCTCCTCCCCAGCACGGCTGCCTCCCAGGTGGCCCCTGTTTACCTTGGGAAGCACCAGGACAGCCAGCCCCATGGCACACGTGGTGCAGAGCCACACGCCGAGTCTGCGCCCGAGGGACAGGGTGTGAGAGCTCCTCCGTGTCCCCTGCCACGGCCGGCATCCCAGGGCCGGGACACGCGCTACGGTGCTTCCTCCCGCCCCACAGTAACAGTCACAGTACACCAGCCAACGGTCTGCAGAAAGGAAGGTTATTAACTAGAAGGGTGGCTAGGCAGAGTATTTATTCCATGTCTTCAGATGAACAGGAATCAGTGGCAATAACTGAAGAAAATTTGTCTTTGAAAGTCCTTTTCCTTGGCTTAAGGATCTACAGGGGCTGTTTTGTCTGTGCATAACAGGGACTAAATCTTAATGTCATTGTCCCACATCGTAGGAGGAGGTTCTCACAGACAGCCCTATCTATTTTTGCACTTAGAATAAGCCCAGAAAAAGAAGATACCTATTCCTGATTATTTGATAAGACTTCTTGTGTGATCTGATCAAAATCAGTAAATTCATTCTTAATTTGCTTAATCAAATCACTACATGAGTTCATTAGTGGTTCTTACTTGTAAGAGATATAATAAAGTCCATCTCCCAAATGCTTGGACAGCTTAAACTGTGAATCTCTTGAGAATTAATCAAATCGCAGATGACAAACCCCAAGACCACTGATACCAATCAGTGTCTGATCGTAATGTAGTATTAATCCGTAGACTGCTTTTGCTGGCAAGCATGGTGTGTGTTTATGCCCGTTCATGCTACACAGAGAGACTTGTACCGCCAACAAAACCTCTGTGGTGGAGAGGAGCACAGCCTGCTGCCTTCTGCACTGCTGCTCTTGATCTTGGAGACGGCATTTCCACCTGCCGGCCCATGAATCCACGGTGCCTGCTCACACACACAAAGGAATTTCAGAATCCAGATGTAACATGGTTGCTTGTACACCAAAATTTCCACAAATCTGAGGACTGGGGATGACCAACATAAAAACCAGTGTAACCCAGTATTCATTCAACAGTTAACACAAAATGAGACTATTATTTCCACTCTTGTTGTAAAACAATTATTTAGCACTAGTGTAGGGCCTGGTAACTCAAAAATGCCATATTGCATTGACTCACACAAGCAAATACTAAGCGGAAGAAAGTTCTTTCTTTTGCTTACTGGCAGGATTAGTCATTTCACAGGGGTTACTGGCGGATGCTATCAGATAGCAAGAACTTCGATCACTAAAAGCTGCAGTCAAACTGATAAGCTAGAGTACAAAGCTGGTATATCCCATTCCAAATCCCTGTGTCTATGCCTGAGGTCCTGATTTTTATAATCTGATTCTGAAACCACCTAAAAATTACTTCTTTCCCCGCTCACCTCCCCCCCCCCCCAAAAAAAAAGACAAAACCCCAAAAACCCAACAAATTTTAGTTTAACCTGATAGGATTTTTTTTCCATTTTTTTCTTTTCTGTTTTAGATAGGAGCAGCTAAACTGCAGAATGCCAACAGAAGGGTTATTTGATTGAATAACTAGACTGAGCACTAACTCAGGGAACCTGAAAAATCTTTTGCCTGGTATGTTTCAGGCATGTCCCTTTCCTCAGACCAGTGATCATTCAGCTGCTGATCAAACCTGAGTTCTCATATCTAGTTATTTAGATCGGTACATTTGGGTCTTTAGCTGCAAGTCCAGAAGGAAAAATATATATATATATATATAGTATTCTATACATACGTATGCTTTAGATCTGCTTAATCTGGGACTCAAGTGATTAGTAGAGTTAGGAAATAATGACTAGCACAATTTTAAAGTCAAAAGTAAAGTCTCCACAGGGGAAAATTTCTAAAACATTCACCTACAAAATGCCTGGGCTGCTGCAGACCATGATCATGTGGATCATGTGGCACAACTTACCTTTCTGTATAATATAATAGAAATCAAGAAAATTAAGGAAAAGTCTATGAAACCCTTAGACAAAAAATAGAAAGGAAAGATAAGGAGAGTACAGAAAAAGGAAGTACAAAGAAATTGGCTGAGAAGATGCAGAGCCCTTGAACTTTGGCCCAAGTAAATAAATACCTCATTCCTTAATGCATGAAAACAATGCAGTTGTGGGGCTCTGAGCTCATCTTACCTTGACTCCTTGTCTTGTCTTTGTTCCTAGTATTTCTATTTTTAGAATATGCTCGTAATTGATAGGACTACCATACAACCAAGAGTTTCATGTACCTCATTACCTTTTGCCTGACTGCTGTAACAATGCACATGCCCATTCATCAGTGTTTTGTCGTGATTTCAGAGAACCATTCTATAAAGACATGGAATGGATTGCTTTGTAAGCCTTTATTGTACTTTTCTGCTGGTCCCATCGTGTTGTCACTCTCAGTTAACATATCTGGCAGATTGTTACTCAGCAGACCCATATTTTATCCTGCAGAATTTGCATCTGAATTCAACTAACAGGGTTATTTGGTGCTTCTACGCTGATGTATTGCAAAAACCTGTTAGTACAAGTCCCTTACTGTTTTCATAATCACTTATCTGAGGAAAAAAATAAGAGCAGGCATATTAAATATAAAGTATTTTTTTATGCTCCTCTTGTGAGGAAATTGCTCAAGTTTTTCTAGAAGTTTGAGTGATTTTTATCTATTACTCCCTTGTCAACATCTTTAAACACTGCACAGACATATTCGGCTGTTCCTTTTCCTGTCATTTGTTGTTGTCTAAGTGCTTTAGAATTCTCCTTAGTGATAGCTCATTCTCTGGAACTAAAATATTCCAGGTTACCCCTAGCACATTTTTTAAAGGTGGCCACAGCATTTTCCACCTTCAACTCCTTAGTTTAGTAGTGGATTTTAATGTTAGAGTGTATACTTTTATTCAAAGCTCGGCCACCTTTGTGTGTAAGCTCCTTCAGGACTCCTCCATAGATCACCCGTCTCGTTAATATTTAATGTATTTTTGTTCCATTACTTTTTCCACTGCTCCTGCTTGTGCCTCACCTCTATTATCCACAACGAGAAGGTCTGAAGCCGGGACCTGCAAAACATCTTCTGTGATAGAGACTGGTACAAAGAGAGTTTCAATAATGCACATTGTGCTAAATCACCCCTTTCACGGGTCCCAGCCCAGCACCCCTCTCCCTTCTGCCGGCGCATGGGCCATGGCTGGGCCGTGGACAGTCAGGGACGAGTACGAGGGGCTGCATGGGGCAATGACCCAAAGCCACCACTCTTGCAGACAAATTCCTCAAGAATCGAAGTCCTACTGTGGCACACACTGTAAAATATCCTCAGAAATCTAAGGTTTGGAGTTGTTTTTTTTGACACACACAGTTATTCATTTGTCAAGAGGCATCGGATAGAGAAAAACAAAAGAGATGGAGAGTATCAGGGAATCACAATAAAGAGCTAAGGCCTAAGCATGGGAAGTACCCCAAGGAAAGCAGCTGTTAGGTGGGACACTTCAATCCTACTTGACAGTCTCTGCATCACCACTTTCTGCTCCTTCTCCTTCCTTTTTCATCCAAACAGAATGCAGTATTTTCACAGTAGTATATTTTCATATTTTCTATAAGATGGGATTTGTAGCTTGAGTAGAGTCTTTCCACTCTATTTTTGTCTCATTAGATTCAATACATCTATTGATTAGATTAGGTTCAAGGAAATATTTTGTAACTTAAGTCTCAACCATTTTTTATAGCTTCATTATAAAACCACAGAAAATTGCACTACATTAATAGAAAAGCTGACATCCTCTTAACAACGACATTAATTGAGGCTACCATAATTTATCATCATTTTGAAGATTATAACCCCTAAAAGTGCATTAAATAAGAGTGCATTAATGAACAATTATAGTAAGCAATTTCGCCTCCCAGCATAACTCTCTTTCTCAACTGTGGCAGGCAATTAGAAAAAAAAGAAAGCCATGAACAACAAAAAATGCCTTTGCAAGACAGGAACCTTTGGTCAACAATGTGACCCAAAAATCTGCAAGGGCAGGTGTAAGTTATCAGTCAAAGTCATTCCTAGTAGAAACTGGTTTTGTTTGCTGATCATTTATATATTTCATTCACTCACCTCTATTTTTTCAGTGCTCTCATTTGAATAACATATGCTGCATTATTGGTGTAGATTTGTTTAGTGGCTAGACACATAAATACATAATGCTTGAACAATTCAGGAGTGAGTACACTTATTTAAACAAGTTTATCAGTTAGTGGTTAGAACAGGGAAATGGGTTCCTGTGTTAACATAATACATCAACTTGAGTAACTCAATTTTTAGTAACTTAGTTCACTCTTTGCAGTAGGAAAAAATTATCTTCCATCATGGGGGCATTAATAATTCAATGAAATAATATGATAGTGGCCCAAAGACAGCTTGGAAACATTTTTAAAATGAAAGCACCCGTCACTCTGCAAAAAATACTTACCAGTGGAAAGTCTGGACAACACAGTGTGTTTATTTTAAGTCTTTTTTAAGGGTGAGCAGAGGAAGAAAATGAGTTTTATTCTTATCTGACTTTAAAAGCAACTCTTTCCTACTCTGTGAACCCTTTCAGCATGGAATGAAAAAATATATAAACCATACTTTCCTTTTTTTTTTTTATTTGCCTCATTTTAGATCACACAATTAGGTACATGTCACTACTTGTTGCTATTTCCTGTTAAACGATCCAAGTGGATGTTTTGCTCTTGGCCCTTTATGCATCTCCCTAATTAGGAGCTGGATTTACGACGTTACCTGCCGGAGCCGCGCAGGGGTCGGTGACATCCGTGTCTGCTGAGCAGCCCCGCTCAGGAGCTCGCTTGGGAACAGCAAGCACGGGGCAAACAGCCCGCGCCAGGCCCGGCACGTCCTGCTTTCCCACCTAGGGACCATTCTGAACCTCTGAACACTGGGCTTCGCAGTTTGTAGCCTGGGGGCAACTTCAGCGACAAGGATCTGGGCTTCTGGCTAAAATAAAGTAATCCTGATAACACTAGACATGCTACAAATGCTTGTATAAATTTTTAATTTTGAGCAAATCAATGGCAGTTTTTAGTCAGTGGAATAAATCGCATTATGTCAAGTTATATACTCAGAAGGAGCTGAAGCACAAGTTCATTTTGCAGCGCCTTAGGTTTCTGTTGATCTATATGTAAAAAGGAAACAAGATGTTCTACAAGCAGTGGCATTTAACAAAGTACATTTGTAGAGCTCCGCGCTGCATATTTAATCTGACTTTGCACTGCTTCACATTTTCACGTTTTTATGAAAATTCAGCCCAAATGAAGTCAATTATCTTAAGACTTAATTAAAGCTACTTCAATTAGTCATTCGAATACCTTGACTGAAGTCTCTGCCCACCTCCCAGATTTATGTGGAGACAGATAAAGTGGCCATGGTAAGACCGAGAGCAGCCGCTTCGCGCTGCCCCCAAGTACAGCGGGAACTGCAGGCCCAGTTCCAAGTATGTATTTCTTAAGGGAATAAGAAATTTCCTAAGAGATATTGACTGGTTACTTAAAGTATTTTTGCAACCAGTTATTTAACTGCTGTGCTAGAATTTTTGCAGGCAATAATTACTGTTCCATTTTTCACATTAGGCAGTCCTGAGCTGAGCCATGAAAATTGCTTTGAAATCACAGCAGACAAAGAGGAAACTTTTGGACATCATTTACTCTGGGATGTTCCAAACCAAAGCTATCCTCCAACCCAGAAAAGGAGTCTGGCCCTGCCAAGGGCTTAGTTGTTGAAATAAAGAAAGAGACCGCAAAACTGAATGAAAAGATGATTGGAACAATTTTCCTACTCTGAAAAAGCCTTTTTTTGGAGGTACTGTCAGAAGAAAAGGAAGGAACAACAAAGAACCTTCATACATCATGGGTGTATCTAATGGGAGGTAACGCAGAGAGGCCAAGTGTTCGAAAAGGAAACAATGTGAGGATTTGTTCTTGCTAGGAAAGAACTCGGACTAGTGCGTGCGTTTCAGAAAAGCAAGACCTTACTCACACATTAAAAGAACTGTCGAAGCACATGAGCATAAGAGCCTTCCCAGAGTATCATTATAACATAATGGTAACATAACATCCAAGCACTTATGCTTCAAGCACTTACAGCCAGATCTTAAAAACATTTACAAAGTGCACCATGACTGTGTATTTATAGCGCGGCGGTGCCCAGGGCTCGGCCAGCAGCAGGTGCCGCGCGGCCAGGCCGTGTGCAAACACGGCTCGGCCAGCGGCAGGTGCGCGCGGCCAGGCCGTGTGCAAACACGGCTCGGCCATCGGCACGTGCCGCACGGCCAGGCCGTGTGCAAACACGGCGCCGCGCGGGCCCTCCCCACAGCGCTGCGCGCAGGAGGCACCGCTGCAAACCGCGCTTCGGCAACGCGGGCTGTCACGTGGGGCAATTACTGCCGAAAGGACAAACATACCCTTAAAATGCGCATGTATCAAAGCCTGGAAAATTAAGAGTCTAAACCGAGTCTGAAACATGATGGAGGGAACATTAAAAAAAAAAAAAACGAGTAAACCAGCACTGTATGATTAGGAAAGCTAGCTGGGAACAAAACTTGATTTTAGCAAATCTTTCGAAATATTTGTTTTGAAATATAAAATTATCTTTCCTTGCCCTAAAGTAGCAATTACCAGCTGGCAACGTTCTGTCAGCATCAGAAAAGAAATGGTCTTGACAAGGGATGAGAAATAGGGAAGCCAGTAGCAAGTGGTTTTAAGAGACTATCTAGCATGCTACAGAAGCAACTGTTTGTGCCAAATTTCTGCTGAAAACACTGATGCTGCTAAATAAAACAGCAGATCTCTTGACAAATATGCCCGCAGGATAAAACCCTCCATTTTCATCACAGTATTTGTTTAATGCACTTGCATTATGATCATGTAATTCATTAATACCTATACATATTATTCATGGAAATATTAAATTCACTGAGACGCATTCCTTGGACTCTCTCATCTAAGCTAGCGACCCTGTGGCTCCACACATCCCTGGCATGGTGTTACCTGGCACTGGTATTTCCAATACCCGTGTTTGTCTCTGCCTTTCCTATGCAGCTGATCCTGCCTTTCCAGACACTTTCTGCCAATGCTGTAGCAAATGCCCTGGAGAGGAAAGATGTGGTTTAAAGACCCTGGTGTGGCCATAGCAGATACAGGAAAGGGGAGAAATGCATTATTGAATTTTGCTGCCCTAAAAATGAGGGGTTGAAGCAGCACTAAACCATTTCTGCAACAGCGGGGAGGGATCCAGAGAAAGCACAGAACGGCGAGGGAGGAGCCCTGCAACTTGTTTCTTATTAGCAGCATGACTTTACTCACAATTAATGTCACATTTATCAACTTCTTTTAGACAATCTATAAGTCATTCCACTCCCTGAAGTTGTCCCCACTGTCACATGCATTGCACTAAGGCCAACATAGTATTCTTCTATAGCATTTGCTCTGGAACTGGGGGTTTGCTTTTCCCCAGGACTGCTGTTTTGTGTGGAAGAACTTGCATCACTGCTCCTGCTGGGACAGCCCTTAAGAAGGCAAAACCCTAGATGTCCCTCCGGTCCAATCCTTGAACCCTGGGAAGCTTTTTGAAGTTTTTTTCTCTTTTTGCTCCATCAACTAGAATCAGGAAATCCTCAATTTTATGTTAACACAACACAGAGAGAACTATTAAAATATTCTAGGAAGAAATATGTGAGTACATTCTCTAGATACACAAGATGTCTACAGTGCAGCGTGCTGACAAATACTGAGGCAGATGCACTGCAAGTGAGACCGCCTCTGGATGTGTTGAGGGAAGGGTTTTATGCTGACAAATACTGAGGCAGATGCATTGCAAGTGAGACCGCCCTCTGGATGTGTTGAGGGAAGGGTTTTAGGGAGCAGGAACAGCTTTCAGAAGACGAGGTGATGCCACTAGCAAAAAAAGCAGCTCTGGGTACAGAAATGATTCCTCCTCTCACCCTTTCCTTGTGCTCCAATATCTTTATCTGTTTTTTTTTTTCCTGGTCAGGTAAAAGCTTTGGGCCATTCCAGTTCTGCATTTAAGCAGTGCTAGCACCTCAGGTGCCAAAGAACATCACTCTTTGTCACATAA